GATATATATATGATATTCTTGACTGGTTGCTGACTAATATACCGCTTATGTAAGTATAGGCTAAGTACTAGATGTATTAAGAATCTATTATATATATAAGCTAGAGTAGCTAAGACCATTATCACGTGATCTATATATCTACTACTACTATATATATAACTATTAGCTATATAGCTCTATCTACTATAGAGTTCTAAAAGTTCAAAATCTTTTAGAATTTTTCCAAGTATTTAAGTTATTATAGATCTACCTAAAGCTGCAGTAGAATGTCACGTGACACCTATGTAAAAGACTAGAAGATCTTAGCTTTAAAACGCACTAACTTTATATCTATAGCCACTATAGCTGCTGAGTAATTATGTTTTAAAAATAATTACTTTTTTTACTACGTTTTTTTTTTGTCACCCCACTGTAAAATCTAGGGATCTCTAGCATATTAAAAAGAGCTAAAAGAATTCGTTAGTAAACTTGATTCTCAAGTCTAGCTATACTATCTTACTAGCTATCTTAGTAGTAATCTATATCGACTAATTAATCTAAAGTTAAATAAGATAATAACTGCGAGAGATATAAGAATACTTAAAGAAGTGTTTAACAATTAAGCTCATAATTACAAATCGTAACTCGAAATCAATTAAGAAATCAATTAAGAAACTAATTAAAATCTCTATCTAAAGAGAGATTATATAAAGACGTTAAACATTGATTAAAACGTTAATTAATCTACTAATTAATCTACCAATTAATGGAGAATAGTTGGAAAGAATCTAATCGTTCTAATTAAGAATAGAGCTAGAACAGCCGTATTAGCTCTATCCACCAAAGTTTCTATAAAGGATATTATCCTAAAGGAGATCTTATTTACCTCTAAGGATATTACCGATCTAAAAAACTACGCTTAAGTCCTTAAACACGCTAATAAGAATTAATATCTATTAGTAATGTAGAAAGAGCTAGATTAACTATAGAAGAACAACACCTAGACGCTCGTGCTAAGGCCTACTAGCTATCTAGTTCTTAAAGGTTATTAGGTACTTAACTGAAAATACTAATAAAATAACAACTATATCTTTAAAGCTTATTAGGTAGTAAAAGGATTTTAACAAGAATTTAGCATTAACTATTAAGAAACGTTCGCTAATACTACTAGGCCTAATCTTATCAGATTGCTACTAGCGATAGCTATAGCTCAAGACTAGATTATTTAAAGCTAGGATATTAAATAAGCTTTCCTAAATACTCTTATCAATACCACGATATTTATAGAGTAACTAGAAGGATTTTCAGATCTATAATACCCTTAGTACGTCTACCTACTTAATAAGGCACTGTACGGATTAAAATAAGCTAGTAGATAATAGCAGAAGCTACTAGTAAGCCTACTAGGCCAACTAGGATTTTAATCTCTATCTATTAATATAGCTATATATATTAATTGCGATTAGAAGATTATAATCGCTACTTATATAGACGATCTACTTATATTTAGAGAAAAAGAGTAAAAAATTAAGAATCTATTCCGCGATCTATCGGATATATTAGATCTAGAGATTAAAGATCTAGGCAATATATCTAAGTTTCTTAGTATCTAAATTATTAGATTAGATCGATCGATCTACATCACCTAAGAGAGCTATCTTTAAAGGCTACTTATCTTTTTCAATAAAGAGAACGTTAAACTAAGGTAAATACCTCTTTAATATAGCATAAAGCTTAGTAAAAATAATTAGACAGCGATAGTAAAAGATACTAATCTATTTCAACAATAAATTAGCTCTCTAATCTACCTATCTACTTTTATTTAGCTAGATATTACTTACGTAGTTAATCTTCTATCTAGATTTATAGCTAATCTTGTTGAAATAAGGAGGGTGCTACTTGTTCTATAGCTAGCTCAGAGGTATAGTAGTCTACTTGTCTAGCGATAGACTCAGAGGTAGCGAATCGATAGGTTCTAGGATGAAAAGAGAGAAATGCTAGGGGAGAGAGATAAGGATTGGATTGATCTGATCTAGTAGTCTGATCTGTTCTTGTAATCTGCTCTGGTTTCTATCTACTAGCTATTCTACTACTATATATATTTGCTGTACTAGATTCTAGAAGAATCTATCTAGTAGTAGATTACGTAGCTATAGACGTAATAGATAGATAAATTGTATAGGGATTGGTTGACTGAAGAATCCGAGTATAGTGCCGAGCACCCGGATTATGTCAGAGATTAGCTGATTAGCTTATATCTCTAACAGATACTCCCTATAGCTAGCTTAATAGACTTTTAATATCCTTTCGTATAAGGCCTATAGGTGTCTATTCGAATCAAGGCTCGTTTGATGTCCCACGCACTCCCATATGCCTTTGAGTGACACTACTACCGATACTGATCCGACCAGTCTTGCCTGCGCCGTTACAAACCCCTACCTAACACTATGGTAGGGGGTACCCGTTTGCCAGCCTAGGGCAGATAGTATTGCATTGGCTGAACTATTGCACGCACTAACCACATACATTAAGCGTTACTTGATTGCGCTTCAAATTACTTAAATGCCTTGCACGTATGAGATGCCCTGAATGTGAACAAAGCCCGGACACGAGGTGGTGGTTGCCTCGTATCGGCGTAGCTGCAGTTTGCCAATCGCAATTGAGTATTTCCCGTGCTGTGCCAAGGCCTGTGTTGCGATTGGTTCGTCCAGCTCATCCAATTAGGGATAGCCGATTACTAGACACATTCAGCAGTACGACGAGGATAAGGTGCTCATCTTCAGGCGCCTTTGGATAAAACCCATAACTTTTAGATCTGTGAATTTGGCCCTAGTGTTGAGGACGCATTCATCACAGCCACAATGGCCCATTCCAAGCGAGTAAACTTATTTTGGACAACAGCCTGCCACATTGAACAAAGTATTAAATAACGCGGTAGCCGAAGATGCACAGTGATACAAAACCGATTCAGCTCATTAATCTTCCCACCTCTCAACACTCTCAAAGATAGTTCAGAATGGCTGTCTTCCTATTCAAGTATATCCGGAGAAAGCTTAGAGAACGCGAAGCACAAGAAGCCGTTCCTACCACAGATAATGCACACTTAGTGCCTGAGTACACATCAGCGCATGAATTTCAAGATGGCGTGAACTATTACAACCACACATCCTTCCAAGATTCAACAGGAAGCCATGTCAACTTCCTTACTCCAGAAGAGGCAGCATGGCAAAGATCTCAAGACCGCAAAAACAAGATTCGACAGTGGAAGTTACTACTAGGACTCGTGTTACCCAACTTCCTAGCTGCCACGGATGTCACTATCGTCGCTCCAGTCATTCCACTCATATCATCCCATTTCGGTACGTCAATCCTTCAAGACAATTCCACAACCACAACCACATGTTCTGATCCACATCTCCAGATAAGCTCTCCGGAAGCTTCAATTGGATCGTAGCAGCCTACACCTTGACATTCACCACATTCATCCCGATGTCTGGGCAATTAGCAGACATCTACGGTCGGTATTTTGCACTGCAATTCCAAATGCTTTGGATTATGGTAGGCAGTGTATTCTGCGCCTCTGCTCAATCCTGGGGCATGCTGCTTGTAGGAAGGGCACTGCAAGGGTTAGGTGCTGCGGGTATCATGAATTTGAGCCGGATCATCTTGTCGGATGGTACGACGTTGGCTGAGAACTCAAGTAGCAATTCCATCTTATCGTTGATTAGTGGGTGCAGGTAAGTCTTTTCTTATATCCCAGCATTCAATCGACTTGAAGAGCTGATTTTCGAATTTAGCTACGCGGTAGGACCGGTTATAGGAGGACACCTCGCAGACGCAGGCTGGCGCTACATATTCGTTCTCCCCATCGGAGTCGCAGTCCTCGCCATGGTCCTCATCGCCCTGCTCATGCGCAAAGAACTCGTTCAAGGCCGCGCAACCACTCAACCCTCAACCTCACAGCACAAAAACTATGTATCCGGCCTCACAATCATCGACTGGCCGGGCCTCACCACATTCATCCTAGGCGTCGGCTGCATAATCCTCGCCACACAATGGGGCGGAACCCAATACGCCTGGTCCTCTCCCATTGTCATCCTCCCCCTCACCATCGGCACCATCCTCTGCATCCTCTTCTTCACCCACGAGTACCTCCTCGCCCCCAACCGCGCCATGTCGCGCTTTTTCCCGAGCCAAATCCCCATGATCCCATCGACACTCTTCCGCAAAAAAGATACGACACTCCTCATGATCATCAATTTCTCCGCGGGAATCAGCATGGTTTGCGCGTTTTACTTTATTTCGTATTACTGGCAGCTTGCAGAGGGCTACTCGCCTAGTCGGGCTGGCGTGCAGTTGCTGTACTATACACCCGGTCTGGGCGTAGGTGTCTACTCTGCTGCTCTGATGTGTAATGTGTGGCCAGGCCAGACGTTCTTCCCCCTCCTCATCGGATCGGTAGTCGAGGCCGTGGGACTCGCGCTGCTCACATACTCCGTGTCCATCAGACATACGACGATGGTTAGTGTGTTTCTCACTGTAGCTGGCGCAGGTACGGGACTGCGCTTTATGCCTGTTGCGCTGCATGCGGCGGGCGTGTGGTCGACGCGTGTACCTAGTATGCAGTCGCTGCTTTCTTTTATGCTGCCGTTGGGCGAGACAATGGGCATATCCATAATGGGAAGTGTATTTTCTAATAAGCTTTCTACTTTTCTGGCTCAGATTGCCCGGCATGCAGGTGGTGCAGCGCTGGGTGGCTCTGGAATCCCGAGTTCGGAACTGCTGGATAGTCTTCCGACAGTGGTCAAGAAAGAGGTGCAGGAGGCGGCGGCCAAGGCAGTCATGTGGGCGCTAATTTCCGTGCTCCCGTTTATGGGACTGGCGGTTGTTGCGGCGGTGTTTATGGGGAATGTGTGGATTGGGAAGGCGGAGAAAAAGGCAAAGGATAGGAAGATGGGACGAAAGGCAGAGAAAGGAAAGGTTATGTATGGAGTTTATCTACTTGCGTTGTGTATGCAGAGTGTGGACGAGCGGAAACAGGATTTGGATGTTGATACGGAGCATGAGGTGAGGGCGGGGCAAACGTAGCGCGAGATGAAAGTCTTGACACAGAGTGTAATATATGTAAGTATTTGCTATGTATGATATAATTCCTACCCAAGCTATTCGATCGATATATCAATACTTCTCAAACCCAATCAAAAAACCCAAATTCACTACTCATTCCATCAGGTCAAGGTTATCCACATCCACTATCCAAGCTAGACCGTATCGAACCCTCATACCTCACCCCGCCTAACAAACCCGCTCCCCCGGCTCCCTCCATGGCACGCCCAAAATCTCAAAAATCCTCTTCTCACTCTTACCCTCAATCAACACCCCATGATTCAGCTTTTCCCCCTTCCTCCCTATCAAAACATCCATATATAACCCCCTTTGATTAAGCTTCATACCCTTCTTCCTTGCCAACAACCTCATACTCCTATTGAAAACATCATCACCCGTAAAGTACAACAGTGCGGCACCCATTTCCTGCTCCGGAACGATCAAGAAGTCTATTCTGCGCCAAATGGTGGAGGACGGGAGACAGGATGCGCCGTGCCATTTTGAGCTGCTGGAGTCGCTATAACGGGATGATCTTAGTGAGGCTTTGAGAAAGCCGGTTTTGTATAAGTGTGGGATGAGGACTTCGAAGATGGTAGTGCTCATAGCGGTAGGTGACATGTTGGGCCGTGACAGAATTATATCGATGTCGCCCGAGTCCTGTGCTCCACGGCGGTAGCTTCCCATTATCGTTGCACTGAATTCCGGGTCGATTTCCTTGAGTGCGGCGGCGACGATAACGCCGTGGGCCTCGACTTCGGCGCGTGGGATGCGGGAGTTGAAATCATGGTAGTTTTCGAGTCCGATCTTCTGATTTTCAGAGAGCGTAGCTTTGGTCTTGAGATCTTCGAGAGTGCGGTGGCCGGCTTGGATCCATTTGTTGGCACAGACAAGGCCGACGCCATAAATACCAAGAAACAAACGTAGGGCTACGTCTTGAGGGTTATGACAGGTGCTTTCGAGTCTTCGGAGACGGTCTGTGAGTACTATTTCTTCGATCTTTGCGGCAAGGTGTGTACCGATAGAAGGTAGCTTTGCGGCTTGTTCTGCAGTAGTGATCTTGACCGTTTGTTTCTTCAGCGTGGCAACGCATTTTCGATAGCTTAGGGTTCTCCATTGGTCCTGCATTCTATCGTAGTACTTACACATCTCTTCTAGTATCTGAATAGTTCGGGCATTTGGGTTCCATGAAACATTGCTACTGGCACTTGGGTCCATACATTGGAAACTGTTCATACCGAACGATTTCTTGTCGCGCAACGCTGATGCTTTCGACAAAACACTGAGCCTCTTGAGGTAATCGGTACCCATTGGCAATAGCTCTTGATCCGTGTTCAAGTTCTCTATAGTATTCACACCTCTTGGACTAACTAGTTCTGCCTCTTCATTTTCATTAATGGGTAGATACGCGAGGGACTTAGCCTCCTGGATGGCTTGGAACAGGGCATCCCCAATTTGATCTCTACCTTTCTGTCCTGAGACTATAGCAGCCCCTGGAGAGGACATAATGAAGCTGTCTTCTACTGTTTCTTCGAGAGGACTCGAGGGCGCTGCATCTGTATTGGGATGAGTGGAAGGTACGCTTTCTTCCGTGGGGTGTGAGTCGGTCTTTTGTGTCTCCTGTGTCGCTTTCTTTCTTTTAGAGGATTTTATCTTTAGCGAGCTCTGCGATGTAGTTGATATATGGGAGAGGTGTGGTGCTTGATCAAGTTCGCCTACCCCTTGGACATCTTTTACAGCGAAGTATGAAACAGTAGGGTCTAAGAGCTCCCCACGACTAATACATTGCGGCACATATGGATCGAACTTGACCACCACGACGTTCTGCTTATCTGTCAGCTTGCTATATTGCCAGCTTGAAGTTTACATACTGGAGGTATTGGTCTGCCGAGATGCCGCACCAATTGATTATATGTGTACGTCCCATCATCAGACATGACGTGCGTGATACTATCGCTCCATTTGTCCGCCCATGCAGCACCAAGCTGAATGACCTTGTGTATGCGTCTTCGTCGTGCCATGGAGATATCATCATTAGGGTAAAAGTAGACGATCTTCTCTTTGAGCAATTGCTTGTTTTCGGGGACAAGCTTGATGTTATGGGCAGGCTTCACAGTTTTTCCGCTTTTGAGCTCACGAGGGATGGCGCCCACGCGTTTGTAAAACGGGGTACATTCTTTGTCGAATATTTGGGACAGAGATATCGTCCTCTTTAAACGGCTTTTGCCGTTATTTGTACCCACATTAAGACCGCTGCGTGACTTGGGGATTTGGACACTCTCGGCGGTCTCAGTTTGTGGTACCGTAGATGATCGAGTTAACTTTTGATTGATTTGCCGATTAGAAGTGCGCCGTCTCTCTGTATGCTCCTCGAACTGTGCCTGTATTTCTCGAGGCGTTGGCCCATTGAAACTACTCGAGTGGCTCAGTAGTGAGGTTAATAGTACAGGTTTTGATTCTTCCAGCGCGCGTTCAAGGTTGAGCACACTTTCGTTAGGGGTATATGGCTCATCGTCCGAGAAATTAAGAAGGGCCTGTTCTTCGAAATAAGTTATTTTCGCCAAGAGCTCGGAGTCCGACATCGTAGTCTAACGCAATTGCAAGTTAATAATAGAAAAAATGACGATTGAGGTCGTTGTTGTTTACAGTGATATTGCAATTACTTTGGACCAAATACTACCCAATATCCAAAACTACGACTCAGTTGTTAGGGGCGAAGTAGATGTGGGACATTAGATGAGTTGCGCTTCGAGCGCCGTGAGCTCAATGATTTTGCAACTATTTATACTGCGTCGGGACTGCTAGTGAAAGGAGATGCTGAAGAAGTATCGGTGAAAGAGTGGAGAAACGTCATCTGGCAGCCGGCGCGAGTCGGATTGTCGGCTGACGCGAAGTCACGTGACGCCACAACTAGTTGTCAAGTACTCACTTTCTAGCCTCCATATTTTAAATCTTACTTCTTATACTTCAAATAAGTACAGAGCAATCTTGAATATGAAAATATGAGGAGTAGAGTAAGAAATGAATATGTACTTTGTTTTGAGCAGTCTATCACCTTTCTACCGACAATGACTGACATTTCAAGATCAGGCGCGTTACTTCAGACCTGCTTAAGATCTAGACGCCATCCTCCTCTTTCCAATTGTAGTACTCTCACTTGCACCGACCACCTTTTGTGCCAACTTCGCATCAAGCTCGGTTACAACACCCTTTCCAACTGGCTTTCCGAGGTTATTGCTCATTGGCGTAACAACATCGCACCGCAGTGATTGTGCAGGGCTCATACGCTCCATCCTCGTGTTATTTGTCTGAATGAGCAATCTCTCACGCGAGTCTGCACCGGTGTACGGCTTCCACTCAGCAGCACGAGTGGCGCGGTCGGTGTTGGGGTCCAAGTTGCGAATGAAGCTCGTCCAGTAACTGCGTACCTGAGAGATGATGGGCTTGTTGGTGGTAGAGTAGCTGGCTGGCTCCTGGCCATCAGTGCGCTTCAAGCCCCAGAAAGCGTAGACGTTGACAGTGTGCCAGGCGCCCAAGCCAGATGCCTGGTCGGCTGGGTCCAGCACGTTGTACTTGTAATTGTACGTGGGCACGTTGTCGCGTGCAATGGCGTTCTGGATGTTGCGTGTTGGGCAGTGGCTGCCGATATCACCAATTGCATTGGCGGCGTCAGGCCAGAAGAGTCCTTTACCGGGGAAGGCGGGCTTCGTCATCTTCAAGTAGAGGTCGCTAAGGATTGAGATGGAAGAGTTGCTCAGACTTGGGTCCTGGCCTCCTAGCCATTTCGCTGCATCGCTTGTGGTGTTGAGACTCTGTGGCGCGTTCTTGGTACCTTCGTCTGCGCAAGTGCCCATGATTGTCGGTACCTTGGCGTACTTTCCCTGCTTGAAGAGGTTCACGAGCGAGTCAGTGAATAGCTCGCCGTCTATGTTGGGGTTGAACCAGCAGTTAGAAGAGCGGATGGCCGACTCGTTCAGCGCACGTAGGCAAGAAAGGCCGTCGGTCGCATTGGCACAACCCTTGTCCTGAAGCAAGCATTCATATTGCTCCTCACCCAGCTCTGGAGTACGCATTGTTACCCAAGGGCCTGACTCCATAATGCCACCTACGAACAACTTTTTGCCCGTGTTTGCCGCCATCATGAGCGCAACAGATGTTCCACCTGCGCTAACGCCATCAAGAACAACATGATTAGGATCACCACCGAATTGACTGATGTGCTCTTTGACCCACTCAAGCAACTTGATCTGGTCGCGTATGCCAGCATTGACATCGCCACCTCCTGCCTTTACCGCTTTGCCGTTGAGGAAACCGTACAAGCCCACACGATAGCTGAATTGAACAAATACAACCTGGCCATCTGCAACGATCTCGGTGGGATCCCAGTTGGCGCTAGACTGCGAACTGAAGCCACCTCCTTGGAAGAAAACTACAACTGGTAATTTCGACTTGGTGGTAGCCTTGGAAGGCGCGTATACGCTCAAATAGAGACAGTCTTCAGCGATGTGAAAGCGTGAGTATGTTCCAGAAACAGTCCAGTCATCAGGACGGCTGGGTGGGCATGTTGCACCGTGTGTAGTGGCGTTGATGAGACCGGAAACGACGGGATCTTGCGGTGCTGCGAAACGTAGCTTTCCCATGGGTGGTGCAGCGTACTGGATACCTTTCCAGGCAGATACTCCCATATTGGAGTCAACGACAGCTCCCTGGTATTTTGCGTAGCCAACATCGACAACGGTATCGACGGCCTGTACGATCGAAGACAAGCTCGCTCCGACGGCGAGTAATTGGTGAACGTGCCTCATCTTCAAGACGATTAACGGCAAGAAAGAAATGAACAGAAGCAGGAGATATCCTTGAGAGTAATGAGTGTGAGAAATACTCAACTGCTACTCTATTGTTTCCTTCCTCTGGTGGCTATTTGAAAATATCCCTTCGAATGTTCATGCAACTCCTTGAAACGTGCTAAGCCTGTTATAGCAACAATGTAGTAATATATTTAAGTTTGTTTCGGTCCGTAAGCGGAGTGAACAATGACATTGCCATATGCGTTCTTGCCCCTGTGCCGTTGGAATCGGACCGTTAAGTCAGCACGGCATATCAACTGTTTCATATTGGAATTGAAGGTGGGCACAACCCGACTATGCCTGAAGAAGTCGCGAATACTAGATCTCATGCCTGACAATCAATGACATCCGTCCGTGGTCTCTTGCACACTAATGCACGACTCGAAATGGGGTATTATTGTGAAAATGTAGAGGGGCGAACGCGTGGGGAAGTCAGCATCAGCAATCTAAGGCAAGTGCAGCGGCCCGAGCATTGGAAATCTGTTGAAGCGCCAGGCATGGCACAGTTCGTTAGAATGTCCAGTAGGGGGTACTTACATCCCAATCGACATTACGGCGGATAGTTTACTATGCACTCCGTTAGGCTGTTCTGCTTAATTGCTACTATAGCTTAAGATTCCACTTTTACTATGAATTACTTGAGGTAAACAACGTCAACAAATAGAATTAGTAGCCAATTGAATAGAAAGTTATTCTATAACTGTCTTGCAGATTTCTTGAATAATGGTACATGCATGTATATGTATGCATGTACATATGTATACGTACTTACTAACTATATTATGTTGCTAACATTCTAGCCTATATAGGCCAGTGCCAAGCATTGCTTAACACTACGTAATGGTCTACCGTAACTCTTCGCTTTTGCGCTAAACCAAAGCTTACTTTCATCACTTCTCGTGCCTGGTGGAGATACTGGGTTGCCCCGCGTCCACAATGCCACAGCCACGGATAGCAGCGCCGCTACGCCGCATATTGCTATCTCGACCTTCAATATGTTCGAGACGTCAGACACGCCTTGTAACTGCATCGATTGCACAGCAGTCACTTGCTCGGACCTTCGCCTCCGCCCAAAGTCTCCGCCGGCCAGCGACGGATCCAAAGACTCCCGAGTCGGCGCCTACACCCGACCCCAAAGATGAGGACATATTCATTCCCAAGCACCTCGGCCGACCCATTGGCTTCAAGTCCGCCCCGCAACCAGGCGAAAATGCTAGCATACCTAAGGCGAAAAAAGATTATTCCGGCATGACAATGTCACAGCGGAATTTGGAGAAGCGTAAGGACCTGGTAGAGAAATGGGGCACAAACTATTTTCGCGACTTCAAAAACATTCGCAAATACAGGTCAGGCAAGACATTCATGGCAAACCCTAGGATCTTCAAGAAAGAGGCGGCGTTGTACTTTCCGAACTTTCATGGCGATACACTGGAGGGGAAGGACAGAGACACGACCAATGTATTGATGGGGAAGGTCAGTGTGGTGAATGTGTACAGTTCACAATGGGGTTTAAACCAGGTGGAGACGTTCACTGGAGCTAAGACGAATGCCAATCTGCACAACATGCTTGCACAACATCCAGGGGTAGCGCAGATGGTGGATGTCAATATCGAAGAGAACACCATGAAGGCATGGATCATTGCACTCTTCCAGTGGCGGTTGAAGGCCTCGAAACCAAAAGAGGATTGGGGCAAGTACTTTGTTGTCAGGAAAGGAGTCAGCGAGAGGATACGAGAGACAATTGGCTTGCTGAACGGTAGGGTTGGATACATCTATCTTGTGGATCAAGATTGCAAGATTCGATGGGCAGGAAGCGGAAACGCAGAGGGCACAGAGATGGAGGACATGAACAAAGGGTTCGCCAAGCTGATTGCCGAGGCGTAATAATGCTCCAACAGGAAGAAGCATTGCAATGTTGTAAGATACTTGTACATCATGACGGCTCAGTCGCCTTGTATAAAACAGACCGAAACAAGGTCATGAGGATATCCCACCCGCCCAAACGCCACGTATGAAAATGATAAACCAAAGACAATCACCTGAACCATAAGAGCATTAGGAAGCAGAAAGCGATGAAGCTCGCCAGTATGATGCCGTCTCTTCGTTTCTTGGACCCAATCCTTCCCATCAAACTGTTGATTCCGGGCACCTGGCTTGCAGCACCCACTATTCTCCGGTTGATGTTCGCCAGCGTATCCCTCTGTATAGCAAAGTTCTCTTGTACTGCATATGCTTGGCTAAGAACTGAATCGGCCATGTTGTGTGAGTTGTCGATGCGGTTCCGTTCGTCAAGCATGTAGTCAGCTTCGGCTTGGTTGGCTGAACGATAGGCGTCGATGTCTGATCGTACGTTCGAAAGCAGGTTGGCTCGGTTTCGGGCGTCGTTCAAAGAGGACTTGAGACGAGCGAGTTCGCGGCGGTGATCTGAGAGCACTTCGCGATGTCTGGCAAGGTTGTTTTGCTTGACGGCGGAAGAGCCATGGGTGGATTCGGAGTCGAGTAGTCGTGATAGCTGAGCCACAAGCGCGTCCCGCTGCTCAAGGATTTCTTGCAGCCTAGTTTCTACCCGCAACTCCTCCTCTGAGGGTTTCGCTGGAATGTTTGGTGTCGAGCCGAATTGTGAATATGTGTGGAACAGTGTCTCGGTCTGGCATTCTACGTTAGCAGGGCGGCTCTGAAAGCGGGCCAAGTGCGCCACAGCAGTGAATGAGTGAAGCCTACTTGCTGTTCCAGCGTGCGCGCTTGCTGGCGTAGTTGCGCCCATCCTCCCCCGGTGGAAGACATGTCGAATGTTACACTCTCTCTGCAGGTGAATGCAGCTGCAACGGATCTCGGAGTTCTGGCATCATGAGTGTCGCACCTGTCTGGCGCGGACTACGCAATGCACAGCCAAGACGCTAGTCCACGTTGGTGATCGGCGAAAAGTTAAGCGAAACACCGCTCCGGCCAACACAGTCATTTCGATCAACGAGACCATCGTTGACGACACGCGATACCCCATCTACACCACCCGGTCCTACTAACACACAGTCAAAATGGTACGTTTCCGATCTCAATGTTGCATCTGGAAGGGATATTTTGTTGCGCTGCTCTGAGAGCACCTGCAGTGGCAGGGTCGGGCAGTCGCAGCCTCTGCTAGTGGTGCTGCGCAAAAATCGAAATTATACAATTAAAGGAACAAAATGCTAACTGAGTGCTTGTAGTCTGCCCCCAAGGTCGTACGTAAATCCTCGCTCATTCAAGCCATTGCCTCCCGCCTAGTACTTACAACCGTTGCAGAAGACCGCCCAGCTGTGGAACAAGTCTAAGGATGAGCTCGCGTCTCAGCTCGCCGACCTCAAGTCGTACGTCGCCTAGGAATCGAACACGGAAAACATGGATTGGAGTGCTGACGGAAGTAAAGGGAGTTGATCCAGCTCAGGACCGCCAAGGTTACCGGAGGCTCCAACACCAAGCTCACCCGCATTCATGACGTTCGCAAGGGCATCGCTAAGGTCCTCACTGTCATCAACGCCAACCAGAGGGCTCAGCTCAGGCTCTTCTACAAGGGCAAGAAGTGCGTCAAGATAAGGAAAAAATTGTAGCGAGGCTAGTAGCTAATGCAATGCAGGTACACTCCTCTCGACCTCCGCCCCAAGCAGACCCGCGCCATCCGCCGAAGACTCACCAAGCACGAGGCTTCTCTCGTCACCGAGAAGCAGAAGAAGAAGCAAACACACTTCCCCCAGCGAAAGTACGCCGTCAAGGCATAAGCGTGCTTTTGCGAAGGTGTTTCTCTTTTCTTCCTTTGTCTCATGAAGCATTGCATTGCCGGGGCTTTTCCAGCTAGCGACTCACCCGTGTACTCGTAGTACCATACTCCAGAGGAGCGAGGAAGGTGGCGTAGCAAATGGGAGTGGACGGACAGGGCGATCTTTAACGGAAATGGGTTGGCGTCCATGTCAAGATCTATGAATAAAAAAGTTCAGACAAGCATGGAAATGATACCTCATGATTTGTGAAGGAGCTTTTTTACGTTTTACATGAGCTTCTTTTTTACATTAGATTCCCATGTTGTATCACAAAACTGTCGCAGGGAGTGTCGCGTCGACGACTTCAGGGCGAAATTGCTTTGATGCAAGGGACATAGCGATTGTGTTTGCAAGATTGCTTATAATTGCTATGCGACTAACATTCTATACTAACGCCGAAACAGGAACACTAAGGCTTTTATGTTTCTATCTTCCTATCTAGCCTTGACATTGTTCCAGACATGACCTTGATGTGTCTACTCCCACTCCTTGTACAGACTGAGGTCTTCAGCTCTGACACCTACCATCTCTTCCCTTACACCAATGACACCCACCTTGCCAGTGGCCTCTGGATCATTGTACTGTGCGAGGGATGATTTGAGTTTTTGAAGCACCTCATCCTTGTCCTGGACAAGCAGGACGATGGCATCGAAGCCACCAGCACCGGGCACAACACCACCGACGACGCCCTCGAGGGTCGAGCAGTAATCCAGCAGACGGGTCTGTTGAGGCGGCTCAATGGGCACGCCCGACTTCTCGCCCATGGCGCGAATCAAAGCACGGTTCTGAGAAATGATCTGGCGGAGGGCATCGTACTTGGAGAAATCCTCGCCCTGCTCATCGGTCGCCAGACGCGTAAGCTCGGCAGCCAAGGCTTCGTTTCCAGTCTGCAACTCGTTCCAGATCTTGTTCGCTTCCTCCTGCTGCTCTGCTCTCCACGCGAGGACTTTCTTGACCATGCCGGGCGTCTCACTTCCGCAATCGACATCGCACATGACGAGACGGAGGCCCTTGGGCATCTTGATGGCAGCCTTCTTGATCTCGGTATCCCACGCAGAGCCCTCGACAAGCGAGCGCAGCTTCGTTGCAAATCCGGCAGTGCCGGGTTGCGGGAGGCTGCTGAGCAGCGAGGGTGAGAAGCGCTTGTACAGACAAGATCCGAAGACCGCGCTTGCGATGTCGAAGCCCGAGCCAACTTTGCCCTGGGCATACGAGTGGCTTGCCTGAGCTAGGTTGTGCAGTGTCATCTGGCCCTTTTCGGTGGTGAGATCGAAAAGGTCCTTGGGGAGATAGAAATCTAGGACTGCGGCTGTGAAACTCGTGACGAGGGCTGCACTGCTGCCCAGTCCGGTCTTGTGCGCTTCTCGGAGAGAGACATTGAAGTCTTGGAAGCGCGAGACTTTGTGGGATGTTGCAGAAGTGCGGGCGGTGCCTGGATTTGAGTAGTAGGCCTGATCGGCTAGGATGCGGATGTTGGAGGGCTGGATGAGGGTGTTGGGGAGGAGGGAGTGGATGTAGGTTAGGGCATAGGTGAGTGCGGTTTCTATGAAGGGGTTGCGAGATTGGGCGATGGATTGTTCGTGGCCGCTGGGTAGGTGTTAGTCATGTTTGTGTGTCTAATAGAACAAAAACCATTGTGTATATACGCCTTAAAGCGCAATTGCAAAGTACAAAATAAAAGACAGTGGAGATGGCTGCAGTGAAGTGGGTATCCGTAGACCCTGATCTACTGCCACTGATCATATGACAGTGGGCAGGACAGGGAGAACACAGAGCCAGAACTGGAGCCCAGAACAACCTTGTTGAGGTAGCATGGCTTTGGACTACTGCAAGGAAACCCTGTGGGTGTTCATCGCTGCTTTCTGTATTGCTTCTGATGGAACGTGTGATTGGGTAGTTGCAACGAGTGCATTACCCGATTGAGCAGATAGACGGGATGAGGCTTAGGATGCAACATGAAAAAGTAAAGACGGCTGACTATTGATCGACCCAGAAGCAAGGAGATTGGGGACGGAGACCACCAGTAGGATAAAAGAGATAAGATACTCACATGCTGAGCTGGGTTACGGCGATGCCGGCATCTCCGTCCTGCAGCCTGTAGCCATACTCCCAGATGGCCTCACGGAATTGGGGGCTGGTGACCAGGATGCCGTTGATAGTGACGCCAGACCTCGTCTTGACGGGCTCTACAAGAGAGTGGATTCTTGCATCGAGGCCGAATACCAAGCCTGTGTAGTCCCGGTCGAGCACAAGGTAGCCACCGGCGACTAGGACTTTGGCCGGACAAGAGACGGCAGTCGGACTCAACGGCGCGTCCGAGGAAGACATGGCGTAAAGTGGAGCAGCTGGAGGGATGGGCAGGCAGCGGCACAATGGAACAGTCGGATTTGTAAGACGGTCGGATGGAGCAACGATATTGGCGCAAAACTGTTAGTAAGGACGGGTACGTAGGAGAAGGGGCTTGCTTGAGGCGGGCTCGTGAGCTTGCGGGGTGCACAGGCTGATGTAAAGGGACTGCAAGTGCGGTGGGTCTCTGATGCCACGACTCTCTTGCAGACAGCGTCGAGGGCAGTGTTTTGCAGAGTCGCTCTGGATGCGGCTAGAAGCCGACGGTGCTACTACATACACACATGCTCGGTCTCCGGTGATGGAGCATGTCACGTGGCTTTGCGTCTACTACACTGCATCCGTACTAGGTGTAGTAGTAGTCGTAGTATATGCTACCGAAGTAGAGTAGAAGTACACGTCGCGCAATGGCCATACGATTTGCCGCCGCCTACACACGGGCTCTGCGATCGGGCTGGGCGCACAGAGGCGAGGCAAACTGCGCAGGCAATCAGCTGCACGTCACATCTTGTGGGGTGCAGCCGTCCGCCGTCCGTCTTGTTCTCGTCGTTCTGCCTGACTCATCTACGAGCCCATGGACGCCCTGGACGGCGGCGGTGCCAGAGACTGCCCGGGGCCGACATTATCGACGCGGCGGCTGGCTGCCATTGGCCCGGAAACATCCACCTCTCCCCGTACTCACACACAGCACTGGGCGACGACCGCTGCGCACGCTACACCAACCCCCCGGCACTGCGCCTAGTGCGATAATTTTTCGGCAAAGCTAGCGTCCATGGCATCGGTCCTAATAACTTTTCATGACGACTACGAGCTGTGCGCTCGAAGCTTCCTTCTGGATTCCCGCTAACCAAGTTGCCTTCGTGGCTCACAATATCTTCCTCCAGGCCACAGTGTGCCGTTTCCTCTCCCACTCCCTCTTCCCTCTCCTATTCCCCTGCGACGACGTCTCCGGACCACTACCCGCTACGCTGCGAAGCCTACAGTAGCATTTGCTCACATTTGCGCACTGAGCTCCAACCACCCCACGCTCTCCTTACACCCGAAAAGCGCGTTTGTTTGACGGTCATCGTCAAATGAACCTGCACCGTCGCGTAGGGATCTCGAGAATAGTACGTACATGATAATTTCGTCCGTCAGCACCCACTCTCCACCCGCACGAGTCGCGCACTGCAACAGTAATTCTGCTGCCTAAACACCAAGAAAAAAAACCGTCGTGAAACGCGCCGGCCTATCTCCGAGTCCCCGCAGCACCTTCGTCTTCAGGCTCCCACCTCAGGCCTCTTATGCTGACCATCCTCACCTAGTCTCACCCTTCCCATCTGAAGGGCTCCTCCAATTCCTAAATGGTCTTTAAGAGCTTCCACCTCGCGCGCCAGAGTCTTGCCAAAGGCTTCACTCACGGTTATGCTCAATCAGTAGTTGCTGGTGTTAGCCAGAACAATCCACTCGCCTCCCTCCAACACGATCGCTTCCGCAAAGGCCTCAAGAACCAACATGCCTTTGCATCCACCTCGTCTACCACGAGCGCTCTCAAGGCGCTCGCCGTCGCACAACCCGACCACCAGGACTCAGGTCTAGCCGCATACTACACTGCGTGGCAGAAGCACCAGAGAACTGATGACAAGGAGTGGTCGCAGTTTCAGTTCCGCAAGCTCATCGAATGGGACCCAACAAGCGCCAAAAATGTGGCCGAGGTCAAGGAAAGCAGTGTTGCTATTGAAGAAACAGCAGAGCCAGTTCCCGCTCCTGCTCGTGGCTCCATCAATCGCGCATATAGTACCAGCCAGGTAGAAGATTTCAAGAAGGCTGTCGGCAGTGAAGAGGCGGAAAAGATTGCCCTGGCAAAGGTTGACGAGGCAATTGCACAAGAGGTGGCGAAACACAAGGCTGGCAATGAATCCATACAAGCCGCTGACGAAGTCTCCGCCATTGAAGAGGTTCGATCGCAATCTTCTGCAACAGTCGACGACACTCTTGTAGGATCGCCAACTTTCAGCCACACAGAGTCAACTATCGCCACCAGCCCAATTGAAGCCCACGATGAGTATACCGTACAGCTCCAGAAGCTGGCTATCAACCACAACTATGCTGAAGTTCCCGCTGTTTTCGAGGCTATGCTCCGTTCCGATGTTAAGCCATCAGTCACCGCGTACAATGCTCTGCTATCCGCAGCGATACACCTTCCCCGTGCACAACACCAAGTTGTTCCCAAGGCCCTGGATGTATACTCGGACATGCTTCGTCGACGAGTCGTTCCCGACACCACTACTTACACCACTCTTCTCGAACTGCTTTCCGTCCGGTCTTTGGAAGTTATTTCTTTGAAACAGAGTTTCGAAGACAGGCGACTACGATATGGCGGAATGGAAGAGGAAGGAAGGTTTATGCTCCAATCCCACGAGACTGACTACGCTATTCTGGCTGAAGATGGATCACTGTCAATCGCCGTGAGGCTTTTTGATGCTGCCGTCAGCAGTGAATCTAGCCGCACTTTCTCGGAGAAGACTTACCGACTGCTTGTCACTGCCTGCGCGGAGAGCGACCGTGTAGAGGATATGGTGCGAATCTATTCGCACATGGAATCTCGTGGCGTAACTCCGGCTGCTGACATGTTCGTTCCAATGATCCACGCTTTCGGTAAGTCTGGTGACTTGAGGAGCGCGGTCGAGTGCTACGACGAATACAAAGCCCTCGCAATCTCAAACGACAATGGCGAGATTGAAATCAGCAGGAAGGACAATGATGTGTACGCTGCCCTTGTCAAGGCATACGCAGTCTGCGATCGCCTAGAGGGCGCTCAAAAGTTTGTGTCCAAGATCGAAAGCGGGCTTACTGCACCTGAAGAAGTCACTTCGGTTCGTGACATCGTAGGCCTCAAGGCTTTCCTCCCGGAGTGGTTGAAGAACGGCTCCTTTGATGAAGCCTACGTACACGCCACCGAGTATCTCAGCCCACAAGCCCGCCAAATCGCCATGGCTGCTATTTGCATCAAGGCTGCTGACCGCGACGCCGTCGAGGTAGCTACCCAGGCTTTCGATGACCTGCCGGCCGAGGTTGACCTCTCTCGACCAGCTATGGCCATGGGAGCCATGCACATTCGCACTGGAAACATTGAAGCAGCCGAGGTCTTCTGGAGGATGCTCGAGCTGTCGCCAACGAAGCCCGACTTCATTGAACCTACCGCCATGCATAGCATAGCATTGATTGGTAGTGGACATGCGGAACGTGGTCTTCGTCAGGGTCGTCAGATGTTTGCTCGCATACGGGACTCTCAGTCTGGCTCTACTCAAGCCAAGATGGAGATTGTAGAGCACATTGACGAGGCTATCGAGGTTATGGGACAGTTCATGATGAAGCGTGGCATCTTCCTTCAGCCGCGGGCTAGCATGGAACTGATGTGGACGATGATTGAAAACGGCGGCCTAGTCACCCCAGTTGCTCACCACCTACTTGCTGGAATGGGACCTGAGGCCGTTGTTCAACTCAACTTCGATGACATCACGCTCCTGATGCAGATCCAATCCGGCATCCTCCTTCAGGAGGCCGAAGTTGACGTTGCTCACGCTGCACGGTTCGCCCATCTTCTCGAAGTCATCACTGCCACCGGCTCGCCAGTCAACAAGACAACATCTAGTCTTGTTGAGCAAGTCCTTGCCAAGCTCGACAGAGGTGACCTCCAGCACCGTTGGTATGCTTACAAGCACCCCGCCCCAGACTCAGTGTACTCTCCAGGACAGTTTGCCGCCTATCCTGTCCAGGCCCCTACCACTCCTGCAGCGCCTACTTTCGAGGACCAGTACGATCCATATGCCGCGTCCACCGATAACAAGGGATCAGTTGCTATCACCGAGCTGCTCGAGAAGACTCACGGACGATCATCCAACCACCTCAACGAGGCTTTGGCGAAGTTTAGGAACATGCGCCGGGCTGGTCGCCATCCCCGGTTCTTTACCTATGCCAAGCTCATCACTGCAGCTGCAAAGGAAGACCGGTTGAATCTGGCTCACGACATCTTGAACCTCGCCAAGCAGGATGTTCCTCTTCTACCGCAGTACCGCATCGTTCGATACGGTTGGGTTACTATTCTGGACGCAATGGTCGCTGCTTGCCTCACTTGCAATCAGCGTGATCTCGCTGGAAGGTACCACCAGGACCTGCTTGAGATGGGTGCTGCTCCTACCGCCAACACCTTTGGTCTTTACATCACTACCCTCAAGGAGTCTACCAAGACTTTTGATGAGGCGACCGAAGCTGTCAAGATCTTCCTTCGCGCAAAGGCCGAGGGCGTTGAGCCTTCGTCCTTCCTCTACAACGCCCTCATCGGCAAGCTTGGAAAGGCTCGCCGTATTGATGACTGCCTCTTCTACTTCTCCGAGATGCGCAACCTCGGTATCCGACCTACCTCTGTTACCTACGGTACCATTGTCAACGCTCTGTGCCGTGTCAGTGACGAGAAGTTTGCTGAGGAGTTGTTCGAGGAGATGGAGAGCATGCCCAACTACAAGCCTCGCCCTGCTCCCTACCATAGCATGATGCAGTTCTTCCTGACCACCAAGCGCGACCGCAGCAAGGTTCTTAGCTACTACGAGCGCATGCGTGCTAAGCGCATCGAGCCTACTACTCACACCTACAAGCTACTGATCGATACGTATGCCACGCTTGAGCCGGTCGATATGAAGGCTGCGGAGAAGGTGCTTGAGCAAGTTCGCAGTGCTGGTGCTGTTCCGGAGGCTGTCCACTACTCGTCATTGATCCACGCCAAAGGCTGTGTGATGCATGACATGGAAGGCGCTCGCCATCTCTTCGACACCGTTCTTAGCGATAGCCGCATGCGCCCCCAGGCCTGCCTCTACCAGGCACTGTTTGAAGCCATGGTTGCCAATCACCAAATTGCCGATACCGAGTCTGTTCTCCTCGACATGCGCGCTCGCGGTGTCGAGATGACTCCCTACATTGCCAATTCCCTCATTCATGGCTGGGCCCTTGCTCACAACATCGAAAAGGCGAAAGCCATTTACGACTCCGTTCCAGAAAGCAAGCGTGAGCCCAGCACCTACGAAGCCATGACGCGTGCCTACATGGCCGTCGAGGACCGCTCAGCTGCCATGACCGTCGTCAACGAAGGTCTGTCCCGCGGCTACCCCGCTGCCGTTGCCGGCAAGATCCTCGAGCTTGTCGGCGGTGGTCGTGCGCCCGTATCTGAAGTCGCTGCCTAGTTTCGACTCAGTTACATACACATCTCTCTTTCTCTTCTTCTTCTCTTTGATTCTGCTGCCATTTATGGCGTTTCAATCATATACACCTTTTTTTTTTACCTGATTTACTTGGACGGCCGAACCAACTAAAAAAGAATTTTTCAGCCCAGTCTCCCTCCCCCTGTGTTGCTGTTGAGCGGCTTTTTTTTCCCGCTCCGGCGACTGGGGGCTAGGCTAGCTATATAACCTCGTTTTTTTTGGCATGTCGCTTCTATAGTTTTTAGCGACGGCGTTTTGTTTCATCATTGGGTTCTCGGTCCTGTCTTTTTTTCTTATCTCTCTCGTCTTTGTATTTGGATGTGTCTTACGATATCCCCACAATTCAACAATGGGTGAGGGGAAGCTGGGTGGGTCGGTTAGGTTTTTTTGTTTTCTTTCTGGCGTCCTTGTGTGTGTCACGATGGGACGAGATTGGAAAATCGAAAAAGGGCCTTGTTGACTGACCTGATTTCTCATATTACCCAGGGCTGGGTTTATGTTTTTTTGTGGCGGGCAAAGGGGATTGTTTTTTTATAATGGCCATGATGTTTCTTTTTTGGTAAAAGGCATGATGGTGTTTCTCTGTTGGGCTGTGTAACAATACCCTTGGATTTATACCATCTCCTCTCTAGATCATGCACGGAAGGCATGAGTGTGTATGTTTGGGAAGTAGATAGATGTAGAGATATATGATGTGTGTGAGTTGCAATGGAAAGAAGAAATATACAATAACAAAGACGGGCTCTCTCATGATTGATTGTTGTCAAGGTGGTGTGGTGGATGTGGGTGACTGTGAGTACATGCCAACCTCGTGCATATTCCTTGCGCAGAATCATCCCATGCGAATGTGCTTAATTACATCCTTTCTCGCCTTACATCTGGCTTCTGAGGACGATACAAGAAACCTCATCTACCCACATGCAATTTCTCCATTTTGCTCAATTAGTCAGGAAAAAAAATATAAGGTGTAAATATTAAAGTCATGAAATCGGGGGGGGGGGGTTCCCTCCGCCACTCCTCCCCACAACCCATCTCCAAATGTTTATATACATACGATAAGATATCTATATATACATTTTCTCCTCTCTCTCTCTCTCTCTCTCTCCTCTTTCACCAATTATTTACCCACACAGGTCTGCCCGTCTACTCTAGCACTCAGTATTTAATTGTAATTCCTTGTCTCGGTCGCTTGATCTGCTTCTCGCGCGAGACGGTTCTCGTCTGCGGCTTGTTGGAGGGCCTGGTTGTTTGTTTGGCGTTTCTGAGCGTCGAGCTTCTTTTGTAGGTCACCGGGGGTGGATTTGTTTGCGCGGGCCTGAGTATGGGTTAGCTTTTTGGGCTTGGTTGCTTGGTCGCTATAGGGTTGTGTTTGTAGGCAAGCATGCTTGCAAGAGCGGATTGCGCGTATCTCCTGCCAGTTCACTAGTGGGATAATATGTAGCAACGTACCTCGGCTGCAGCGGCGGCGGCTGCTTTTGGATCGTCTTGCTTATTGCTGTCGCCTAATGTGCGCGGTGGGCCTCCGACTTTTGGCTTCGGGGCGGCGGCATTGTTGGGTACGGATGCGCGTGTTGTGGGCGCAGGCGCAGAACCGAGTGTGCGCCCTGGGCCGTCGAAGTTGTCTTTGGACTGTTTACCGCAGAGGTTGCCCATGTGTAATGTCGATATGGTAGTGCTGTTAGGTGGCGGGATGCAGAAGGCAGCTAGAAGGCAGCTAGAAGGAGGAGGATTGTTGGGAAGAGTCGTCGTGTATCAGATGTGGCTGTGCTACTGAGCAAAGGGTCCAAGGAGGGTTGTTGCTGACATGTCAGCCTCAACGGGCGCGCGGGGGAGGTGAGTTGGATTGACGACGCAGACGCGTGGGATTGGCGCCAAGTACCCGTTTCTCGGATTCCCGGCTATGCAACTGTGTTCCAGGGTCGCCAGTCATGTCATGGTACCATTCTTTTGTCCATCTGCCTCCAACACTGGCACATTCCGGGACGACCGCAAAAAAGCAATGCCTGTCGCAGCCATCAGTCGCAGGTCGCAGTCGCATTGCAGGTGAGTGGGTACACTAAAGTCGTAGTGCACACTAACCCGGAGTGCCCAGTCCGCTGCAACGAAGAGATGGCGGTCGCGGCTGATCAAGGCATGGCAAGGCTAATATCTGAATGGCGGCGCACACACAGCTACGGCTGCGAGACAGCGTGCAATCAGTCTATCAATGACCAGGATATCCATTCTATTCAGAAAGAGCAAGGTCATGTGGCACACAACATCGCAGGCACAGAGCGGATGCGACATTTCGATTTTCCAAAGAGCGGCCAATGACGACAGATACAACTAAAGCTCAAAACTACACGTGATAGGCGGGCGGCATTCTCGCGATGCGCTAATCCCCATACATTCCCTCTCCCTCGAGCGCTATATGTCCATCTCAAGTCTCCAAAACTTCACTGATTGTAGAGACAAGTCGAGAGAGGCTTGCCTAATGAAGGGGTCACGCTCACGTACGTCACTCAAAATTCCCCTTCACATGTCCATCCTCGCAACCATGCAAATTCGAGTGTCCAACTTGAGTACCGAGATGGCCTACCTTGCAACACTTCCATATTGTCGACCCAAACGCCTGCGACTCTGTCCTTCGAAGAAAGGAACCAGCCGACGCCCAAAATGACTAACAGCTGTGCAGATTGCGATCGCGACTCGGCCTTTGGCGACGACGACTACCTCCGGGCTTCAGAGTCCATGTTTCCCTCTCCCGTCGTTGCAGGCACGAAGCGGGATGCCAATGAATTGCGAGATGACGACCCAAAATCTATCCAAACAGCGGGTCTGAGCTCAGAAGAGTACCCTCTTGACCCCCAGCTGTGTTGCAATAGGTGCCCTGAAAACTGCCCAGAAGCAATCGACGTGCGCCCGACAAAACGCAAGGCTTCAGCTGACAAGGTTGGCGAATTCCACCATCCTACTACCACACAGTCACACCAGGCTACCGAGCCAGACTGCCCCTTCCCAGACGACTCTTTCGAGAAGTTTTGTCAGGAGTGCAATCTAGAGCCATCTTCTCACTCAGACTGCTCAGTCCCGTGTCCCGCCAACGACTGCGTCCAAGACGACGTTTGCTTTGACCCTCGATGCACTCAGAAGAACGCGCACTGTACCGACAACTGCGTAGACCCAGATTGTACCAAGGTCGCCTCTCCAGACCAACCATGCTTCTGTCAGAAGTGTAACGCTGCACCTTGTCCATTGGGTGACCCAAACAATGAATGTCACTTCGCTCACACCGCTCCTACCCCGGTTGGTACAATATACTGTTACGACGATGCGCCGTGTCACTTTCAGGAAGGGCTTCATAGCCACCAAGGCAGCCTTGCTTCCTTTGAGACTTATCCTTGCTTCTCTCAGACTCATGACTACCACCCTGCCGACGACGTCACGACGACAACCTCGAGCGCCCCAACACCAGCACTATCACACAGCAACTATACCTCGCTAGAAAGTGCCTTCACCACGGAACACTCACCAGTACCTGGCAAGACAGCCTTTTCACCACACTGTTTTCTCAATGTTGCTGGGGACCATTGTCACATTGACAATTCGTGTTGCCACGGCCCCCGTAGAGCATGTGGCGACGCCCCATCTGCATCACAACTGCAGTTGGATCTGTGGGACGCATCAGTCGCACAGGGAAATGGGCTAGCCACCAACTTTATGAACTTTGGGTTCAATCCTAGTCTGCCCACTAGCCCCATCTCAGTTGACCGGAGCTCAATACATACCACCAACCCTTTCAGCCTTGGAGACCCTATGCTGGGCTTTAATGACCACTCTTGGATGCTGACGGATTCAGCATTCCCAAACGTCTATCAACCAGCAAGCTCGTTTGGCACTATGAACAAGCTTGATTTTCTTGCTTCTGCTGTTCAGAACGATATCTTACGTCCGAACACTACGATTTCTTCAGGTTCAAGTACAATACTGGGCGCTGCTACTACTGCTACTGGAGATGGACAGACATGTGTCTGTAAATGGTGAGTGATTTGCGCGTCTTACACGCTGTCAGACGCATAGCCTCTGGAACCTCTTGACATCTTCTGCAACGGCACAACGTATACTAACAACCACCTAGGCAACATGGCCCTGGAATGCTTTGTCTGGCGCTCTTCGACACCCCAGAGGCACTACACAAGCACATCAAGACCATGCACGTGGACAATTGCACGCACTGTTTCTGCCAATGGGAAGGCTGCGATGTCTCTACCAAAGACTTCAAGCAGCGCTCCAAGCTTTCTCGTCACCTCCTCGGCCATGCTGGCTACCGTCCATATGCCTGCAGCTACGATGGTTGCGACAAGACGTTTGCCACGAACCAAGCCAAGGATAACCATGAGAGAACGCACACAGGCGAACGACCCTATGTCTGTGATCGCTGCGGATACACGACAACCACGCATACACAATTGCAAACACACATCAGCGCTCTACATGAGGGCAAAAAGCCGCACAAGTGTCGCTTCTGCGAGTTTACTTGCGCCGACTCGAGTAATTTGAGTAAACACGAGCGAACGCATCAGGTGAGTTGACTTTGTTTGAGAATACCTCGTGAGGGACTGCACATCACCTGTCATTCATTGCGAAACAAAAAAAAAGAGATAGAAGTACTAATTTTCACCCAGACACTCCGCCCTTACCGCTGCCCACAGGAAAACTGCACCTTCAAACCCGACTGTCGCTGGGAGAACCTGAAACGCCATCTCCGCCGCTCGGGTCACTGTCCGCAGCTGCTCGTCGAGACGAGCGACGAGTACAAGTTATATCGCGAGAGCGTACGCCGCGAGATTGATGACTGGCATAAGAGGAATGAGGATGGGGGGTTAGGTAGGGCGGGAAGGAGAAAGGGGGGTAGGACTGCTAGGTAGGTGGTAAAAGATTTATTGTATATAGGGTGTGAGTGGGATATATGCATCCCCGTTTGAAAAGGTGAAGTGGGTGTTGATGAGGATAAGAGGGCATTGGATGCGCCAGCAGGTGAGCGGGAAGATGAAGTTGTGGTGCCTACAGACACAGATACTTGGAGTCCGCGAGGATGGGTCAATGATGATGAGAGCGACACAAACAAGAATTACTAACGGCACCATGTCAATGACGAACATGTACACATGAATAGATGAACAAATGAATAAAAGGGAATTTGAGACATTCTTTCGGTCTTATGCTCCATGTCTATTTAACAAGAAAGCAGTGCCAGCACAGCCAATGTCTAGGGGTATATTCTTGCAATGCAAAAGAGCGAGAGAGAGAGAACAGTTAGGAAGCTGAGTAAATCAAGAAGAAAGAGTAGAACAAAGACAACAAGGTCTCCCAAGTTTTCCAAAGTTTCTATGGACCCCCCCCCCCAGCCCACGGCCTTGACTAATCCAAAAACAAACAAAAACAAGGACCGCAATGCAGCAACCCGACAAATATCTGTACAAACACGCATGCTTTCTCTATCCATCCATCCCCCCTTGGCCTCTCACTCCATTTTTGTTTGCTCACCATCAAAACAACAACAGCTTACAACGAACCACCAGTCGCTCTTCAACCATACAACAAAACGAACTCCCCAAAAAGCTTCACCAAAAAAAGCGCGTATCCCAAACAAGCGGAAGGGGGGTTGGGGGATATCACAGATATAGATATATATGTATATCAGAATCAAAAAAAAAAGAACACACATTAAACACCCTCTTCCCCCTCTCCCCCTTTCCACCGTTGGAGCAGCGCAAGAAAGGGCCAAAATAAAGGCCATATGTACAAATTACTTTGGGTTTCCAACACTTTGAATTACTCTACTCCTCTCTCCTCAAATAGGTAAAGCTCTTCCCCCTCACCTATGAAGGCGAAGAAGAGAGTGAAAACAAGAGAAAAAAATAGGGTTTTCATCGCATGTATGGGTAAGTCATGCGATTGGGTATAGAACGGCAGAGGCGAAACGTAAAACTGACCAAGAGAGAGAGAGAGAGGTGGCCGCAAGCGCTGGGGTGGCGTAATTTACGAGGACGGACGATGGCGATGGGTGGCAGCCGAAGCGACTCAGAGAGTGTGCAGCCACACGGAATGCCGCTTTGCGTAGTAAAGAGCGAATTAGACACTAGATGCACAGGCGGTCCTTCCATCTCTTGGCCAGAATCATCAGAGAAAAAAAACAAAAATAGGAGGATATGGCCGTGGCGGGGTGGCGGAGCTTGGTAGATCTAAAGGCTCCGAAGACACCAAAAGCAAGCAACAAAGAGGGGACCCTGGGGCGGAGTGAGGAGTGCCGATGACCACGGGGTCATGTGTTGAAAATGTGGAACAGAAACAGCGCGTGAACAGACATTATCGTGGCGGCATTACGGTTTGTGGACAAGGTCAATGAGCGTGCTAGAACCTGGGGAGTGAACATCCGGCGTCCCTGCGAGTGGTGGGCGCTTCACAGAAGGTAGAGGCGCAGATACGACACGGCTCTCGCCCTTGCAGATTCGCGCGTAGGGCGGAGACTGCCACGGAGTATACGAAGCTAGGAAAGATTAGTAGACCAGATACAGACAGCATCACTAAGGGCTTGGAGGCCCTCGGTCACCTCGACTCCGGTGCCCTCCAATGATTGCGCTATCGCCCTCAATGGTCTTTCGCCAGTGCTGCGGCAAGCAGACGCAGACCAAGGGGAAGGCCTTGATCTCGCTGTCCTCTAACGGCATTCTTCCACTGGCGCTGCTAACGCCCGAGTCACGTTGCTCGGCTTTTCGTGCCTCCCATTGCTCAGCTGTTTCAGATATCCTGACGCCAGTAGCCCAACCGTCATCCCAGATACCAACAACCTTGAGCATGTCACCTCTTTCAAGCTCAAATTCGTCGCCAGCGCGAGGCTGGTAGGCCCAAAGAGTGGCAACAGTATCATTGGGGTGGATGTCATCTTGGGAATAGTAGTCCTTGAAGAATTGAAGCTGTTCGGACTGGGAGGTAAGACCGTCGGGGCTAGACAAGCTGCGGCTCTGATCAGAGCCAGAAAGGGGCGAGGAGTGCATGCCGAGAGCGGAGTGACTTGACAAGGAACCCTGGCGCTTTGGGAGTCCTGCAGCTAGAGCACCACGTATTGATTCTGGAGAATCGTAAGCGCCGAATTGAGAGCCACCGTACGCGGTCAGACGACCGTCCCTCTCGCTGTTGTTGGCTGACGATGTGGCATCCTCCAAGGCCGACATGCGTTGGACACGAGCGCCTGGGAGAATGGTAGCCGAGTGGTTGGCGTCACCACCAAAGGCCATGGGAGGCACGGGGTTGCCCTTGGAAGAGTGATGTCGGGATGGCGAGGGAGTGTTGAAAACGCTACCGGCCTGGCTGTACTTTTGTCTGCGCCTCTGCATGCAACAGAAGATGACAGCGGCAATTACCAGGGCGGCACCGATAAGTGATCCAATAACGATACCAGCAATAGCACCTCCAGAGAGTCCCTGTTTCGAGTTCTGTCCGCCGGATGCTCCACCGGCCGTGGAGGTTGGTGAAGCAGACGAGGTGCTAGTTGGGAAGACAGGAGGCATGGAAATGGTGGTGGGAAGATCAACATTTTGGCAGCGGGCTTCGACATTGGCATTGACACAGCAGGTATCGGTCGAGTTGGCGGTGCTTCCAGCGCAAAACAAGCACAGTCCTTCAAGGTTGTTCTGGAAACCACATTCTGCGGGCTCGTTCTTTACAGCTTCAATGCAACTGGTGCTGAGAGCGTCTGCAGGGTTGGAGCAACGGGCAAAGTCTGAGCGAATCTGGGGCACTGCGTTGTTGCCTGGGGTACCACAGAGGTCCGGACTTGATATGATGACCTGTTCGCTAATGGCAAAGTCGGCCTAAAGATGGTCAGTATGGTGGTGCAGCTGGGCAGTTCAATCTACATACGCAAGCGCCAGCACATAGCGGTGTTGCGGCTTGATCACTGAGGCCACACGATTGCTTCGAAGACTGGACAATGGCATTGCACAAGACTGTTGTTGTAAAGCGAGCATACAGATTGGTAGTGCTAGTAAGATTGACACTTGAACAGCCAAGAATGTCTTCGTATCTAGCAAAAAGTGTCAGTCATACCGCGCGGTAAAAGGCATTGCAGGGCCAAACTGACTGTCGCTGGGCGTAACCGGTCGCTATGTAGTTTTTCAGGCCTTCGTCAAAAGACTGGGTGTTTGACACAAACTTGAGGAAGGGACTGCTTGGCATTAGTATTGCTTCTGGTCGGACAGTATGCACCATTGCTGGACGTACAAGTTGCCGGTCAGGTTGGTGTTGACCGAGGCCGAGGCAAAGGCCGGGCAGGTAGTTGAGCCTGCGAGCGAGACGCAGCTTTGAGCCATTGTCGAGGGCAGCGAGGCGGCAAGGACAGCGAGGAGGGCGGCAGCGGGGGCTTTTGTGCCTATGCGTGGTTGCTTTTGGCGGCGTGCAGCACGTGGATGGCTCGCATCATGGCAGGGCAGGCATGGGTTCATGCTGAGAAGGAACAGTGGGCGTGGGCGTGGAGGCTGGCTGTCTGTGCCGTGGGTATCAAGGCTGCAGAAGCGGGACCGGAGCAGAAGAAAAGTATCGACGTGGAGACGCGCAGGTGACTAGGCCATGCGCGGCATGGAGGTTGGGTGCCGTGGATTGCTTGAGCGAGAGGTTTAGTGGTTGTTTGGCGGCAGTGCCTGGGGGCGGCGGTGAAGGCAGAACAGAGCAGAGGGATCGGGGATGGGGGGAAACAGCGACGGCGCGATGTATATTGGCAGTGGAGCGGCCTAGCAGAAGGGACAGGGCGGCCGGGCTCGCAACATGCAAAAATGAGCGTAGTGGGTAGAGAAGCTACGAGGGCCACACACGTAGTCGTGGGAGAAGAAGGAAGGCACGACCGACTGGGGGAAGCTGCGACACGCGCGACCTGCGACCTGCGACGGACATGGCCTGGACTGAGCGCGCGCGTGCTCGCCGCTGATTGGCCCGCCCCTGGGTCGGGAAATGAGGTTCCTGGCCTAAAATTATCCCGAATCTGCTTTTCTGTCTCATCCTCCATCTAACCATAGCCACAAATAGCCTGCCTTTTCTTACTATGTGCCTGTAAGAACATACTTACTGACAGCTCTTCTTGCGTCTGTGCCGATATGCCTCATTTCACTCGCCATGCTCCCCCAGCGTCCTGGCCGACGACTCTCGCGCGCGCCCCTGCAGACATGCACTGCTGTCCGTGGTGCGTTGTCCTGCAGTAATCTGCGTCTCCGCTCTACCCGACATGGCGCTAAGTCAGCACTCGTGCTAGCTAACAACTGTCAGCCGCCTTTTTGGTCGGTCGGTCGGCGCAACCGCAATCCAAAACTGCCTCGCTAGCATCGCTCCCTCACTGCCGGGGAGCATCTACTGTCGAGCCATTGCTGCTTGGCTTTAAAGCGCTCCCCCGCACTCCCTGCCCGCGGCTACCACCCCGGTGGAGCCAGTCCTCGTCCAGGTACAGTACTTAGATACGGCATCTTATGCAACTGCCGAACCTTCATCTTCTCTATTCGCCTTCTCCCTTTCTTCCTTGTCATTATCCATGTAGTCCCCATCGCACACATAATGCCTTATCATAGCCATCCAGCCAACCAACCCGGTCCTTGCAACAACCGACAACCTCACAGCCACATGGTTGCGCTAACCCCGTGACCCGTGCGCTCCTGCCTCACACTAGCCGGCGGCCCGCTCCCATGGCACTGTTTGTTGCGGCGATCTCTCTTTTTGCTTTCTGATCCACAGTCTAAACTTAAGTATCCCACGCTCAAGTACCGATATACGTACGTCACAAAAGTATACACGGTACACTTGTCAGCAGCGACATGATCATTGTACGGTCATGTCACGGCCTACCAACCATTGGCCAGAGCAACACCACAGATCAGTGTCACTTCTGTCGTACAAAGTGTCGCAGACCCCCATCTCCAAGACAATCGTGAAGGTGCTAGTCTAGCCTCGAGAAGGAAAAACACAGCCGCTCCCATCTTCCGCTTTTTCGAACCGCCAAGCCGAACCTACTCTGTCTGAAGTAACCGATCGAATAATATATCCTCCGGTCTTGTCATCCACCTGACACCTACATTCCCCAGCACCATAATCCCAGCAAAAAATCTAGACTAACATGCACAGCTCATTGCTTTGTCACTGCTGAGCAACCAACAACACGCTCTCTCTCTCTCTCTCTCTCTCTCTCTCTCTCTCTCTCTTCTCACCGTTCTGCGTATCTTCCGACACTGTCTGTTTGAACGCGCCAAGTTGAGATGCACCATCAATGCGAACTACAATTTCCACCCCTAAAATCCAACGTTCATCTCTGGTTCACGGGGGGAAAAAAGGAAAAGAAAAGAAAAACAGTTCCCCCCTCAATCTATATCGCCGGTCATCTTTGCTTTCCCCGCACACTATCGTCTCACTCTAGGCCATTATGCTCTCGTACAGCCAAGTCTTGGCATACACTACCTTTCAAGACCTCTTGTCCGCCTTTGCTAAAGTTGCGCCTATTGAATAGCTTGTTTTGGGCAAGAACTAGGCCGCAGGGATGCCTCGGTGAGTTTGTCTTTATGCTCCGGCGTAAGTAAAGTATACCGGTGGGTTGGCATCTGGATAGGTGTCTTCTTTTTTTGGGCTGTCAATGTACTTACAACTGTGTTTGTGTCGCTAATGGCTTGATGCCGCGTGGAAGGTTTCAGAGTCAAGATTGTCTGCGGATGATTCATTCAGAAGGTGTATCTTTTTTTTGGGTCCTATACGTCATAGGAATATATCTCGTTGTAAAAAAAAGAGTCATTGGAGTTACAATGATGAGCAAGATTCCCACCTTGCAAGCCCATTCATCCACTCATTTAACAAAAGAACCCTCTCCAAACACAATATGCAAGTCTATTCATTTGGATATCATTTCCACTCTTCTCTTCCCATCCCCTCCCCTTAAATAACCCGATTTTCCCTCAAAAAAACTTCACGCCCTCTCCCTCCCCCCCACTCCCAAACACCTGCGCCTTCCCCCTCTTAACACAAACCCCCAGACTCTTCTGCAAAAGCTCCATGTCCATCCCTCCAAACTCCTCCTTCCCCACTGCATCCCCCTCCACAATCTCATAAAGCGTCAGCACTGTCCCCTTCTGCCCCGTCCTCTCCACCCACTCCTCAATCGCCGTCGCCCATTCCTCCGGTCTACGCCAGTACACCCACACTTTGCCCCCCTCTCCTTCTTCTGCTTTCGAGCTTTTCTTCGTACCAGATGTTATGAATTCCGCGCGATTCCCGCCTTCGGGCGAGGCCATGTATGTGAGGATTGCTTTTGCGTCGCGGAGTGAGAGGCTGCGGCGGAGAGTGGCGTTTGTGAATAAGGGTGTGGGCAGGGCGTCGATGAGGGAGAGGGTGAAGATGCGGTGGTGCCGGCAGTAGGATTGAATTAGCGTCGACCACGAGGCGAGCTGTGAGCTGCGGGTGCTGGCCACGGGTTGCAGGGTGAAGAAGGGGGGGAAGGAGTAGTGGGGTGGGAAGGTAAAGCTTGTGTTTGAGGATGTGGAGGTAGACGTGGGGTTGGGTACGGGCGGTAGATAGGAAGATGTGGTTGCCATGGCTGCAGGTTTTGAGGAGTGTTGGTGTAGGTGCGACTGTAGTTGCGGTTGTGGATGTTTAGTTGGGGGACGCGACGCAGCGGAGGTGTTGGTGGAGGTTTGCGGGGGCTTTGCGACGTCATTGGCTCACTTGGCTGCGGAGGACAGGGTAGCTCTTCTCTTGAACTTCGACATCTTTTACACACTCATGTTAACTATTGGTTTTTCGTGGAAAGCTTTGGGTTTTGTTAATTTGTGACATTCTTCAATTACAGCAAAATAAACCTACAAATTTGGGTCATCGAGCTGCTATTCTTCTTCAACTCCTCTCCCTCCATCCATCCATCTTACCGTACATCTTCTTTCTTATCCACGTCCTCAGAGCTATGAACTAATCTTAGCCCAGAGCTACCCAAAACAGTTCTCTCGTAGAGTTCCTCAAGTACTGCCTCTACGCAATCGTGTGCAGCAGACCCAGTGTGTAGATATCACACCCAAGTGGTAGAGATAGGCGTCATGTTTGTTGCCCAATTTTTTTTAGCAAGTGTTCGTGGATAGCATCAATGACCTGACCTATAGTTACGCCACCTCTGTTCTGCGCATAGATCATGTCGAGATGTGTATTATAGCGTTCAGTGGCGTCGTGGGAGGAGCGTTGACTGGGGCTAGGGAATATTGTAGATCTGATTCCAAACTTGATCTTCGAGAGAGGTAGAACACACACTAGCATATCCTTTCATGACACGTTTTTTTCTTCGGCTGTCTTCTTGAACGCTTCAATCGCAGCCATCAGGTTGTTGCGTATGTAATATTTGTGATGCCGCTGCTGTTTATCGATACCGACTTCAATCAAGGAGCCGAAAATGATGTGAAGGTATTCGGACAGCTCCTTGATCATAGGATGGACTGTGATAGCTTCCGGAGCGCTATTCATCCAGGGCTGAAGGAGGGGAATTTCCTGGCATATCACGCGCGTGGATGTGATCATGTAATTTCTCGGTCCTACTACACCCTCTCTGGCCTCTAGATTGAAAACCAGAAGCAAACTACGGGGGAATTCATGGTCTCCACTATTCTCCTTGTCGTCGCTATCACCTTGGGAACACTGTATCCTGGTACAGTTTACGAACAGCTTGTCACGAAGCGTCGGGTCGTTGCCTGGAAGGCACGCACGCCAGGTCTTGCAGACTTGCTGACAACCTAGGACTAGATTCAAAATCAGCATACACACATGGCACTTCTCGACTCCTAACCGAATAGTAGAAGTAGTAAAGCGTCCACTGTAGGCAGTCTGGGGTAAGACGCCACACAAGCAACTTACGACCGAAGAAATCCAGCTCATGAAGTACCATTTGCAGCACCTCTGGCGGCATGTGCGGTGTAAACGAGTCCATACTCTTCTCAGTATCGCTTTCGTTCACTTTGTCTGCTTGCATATTGTCTGATAAGCTCATATAGATTGGTTGAGGTGATTTGTTGAAGAAGAGGGTAAAGAGGATAGAGCGCTCGAGGCAGACGAATATGTAGTGACTGTGTGTAGAAGTATCTCGCTTGCGTAACTGATGTGAGAGTGAAGGGCAGGGTGCAAACAAACGTGTAAGCGGATATGGGAGTGAGAGTGAAAGTGAAAATGGAAATAAGACTGTTAGCTTTATAAACACGCGTGTGACCATTCACCTCAACTGCGGTGACTAGCGCTTTCTTATCCAGGCTCTAATGAATGAGTATCAAAACGTCGCTCATCTTTACCACCTCTTCTAGAGTAGCAACCAATCATTCCTTATTGTTCAATAGAACACTGATTTGAAAGGTCGCTGGGACTATGGCTCAATCAGTCAAAATGCCCGTATAACACCAGAACATACTGCATCAATATCATTATTCGTTGACCCAAAGCTTGCATACAAGCCGTCCCTGTATCCTAAAGGACATATCCCACAAGCCATATGACACAATGTCCTGATATCCGTCTCATCACCATGACCATATTTTTGCACAAACATCCCTTGCGCCATAACAAGCACACAACCAAGCCCAATCTTTGCGCCAAATAACACATGAATCTCTTATCCACGAAACTCAACCCAATGGTATTCCAAAAAACCTCACATACAGCATGCCAACACCTTCATCTCTCCCTACAAAACGCCATCTCATCGCCACCCCTTCCTCTTCTGCTGCTGCCCCGCCTTAAACCTAATCTGATCCTCTTTCTGCTGCTGAAACATCTTAACCTCCCCACTATACCTCTCGTACTCGCCCATCCAATACTCGATCAATCCACTCACATCATCCACAAACCCTTCTGGCCCGCGATTCCACACCCACAAGCCCACGACCAAGATACCGCCCCAGAAGGCGAGGCGGAACGCCAGGTTGATCCAGAAGACGACGGCGCGGTACATCATGTCAAGGATCTTGAGCGAGATGAAGAAGATGAAGAGGAGGGCGACGATGGATGCGACATCGGGTTGCGTGATGAGTTTGTTGAGAAGGGGAGAGAGGTGCGTGGAGAGGGTGCGGGAGAAGCCGAGGAAGGTGGTTATGATGTGTAGTGCGGGGTCGGCGAAGGAGGGAGGGAGGAGGCGGGGGAGGAAAGCGGCGTAGTCTGTTTTGCTGCTGTTAGATATGGGTGTTGATGTGGCGCAAGAGTGCGCGCGTGAGTATATGCGCTGATTAAACTGGTGATTGCAAACTTACCTTGTATAAAATCCATATTGGGCCGTTTGCGCTTCTTTTTTTCTCTCTTACAAAGTAAAATGGCTAGTCGTGTGCGAAACGCGATGTGGCAGACGCGTTGTATGTTTGTTGTTTTGCGGGGATCGCAAAAACGTAAGTGGAGTAGCAAGTTGTGAAAGGGAAGTGTTGGAACGCAGCGATCCTTTCTACCCTTCCAGAAACAAACAAAGCTACCTGCTAGTACGACCACGGAAACGTCAAAATCCAGGGGTTTCAATAGGGCTACATGCAAAACAAAAACATCAAGTTTCAAAATGAACGAGAATATTCCCCTTTCGCATGTGTTTCGCGGCGGTGACAAACTGTCCACGTTGTTTCTCTTCCACGTCTGGTCTAGTCTCGAACCCTTTTTTCACGTGCATTTTGTCCCGCCCTCAACAAGCAACTTTGTTACATGCCGCCCATTACTCAAAGTAGCCGTGACCCACGCACACGCAAGTGATTGATACAGCTGCACGTCATTGCTGCGCTTCAACGCAACCGTTTTGGCGTTGCAGAAAAACGTTATGCACAACTTGACAAACAAGGCCAAAACTGCAAGCAGCCTAATCACCGCACCCCTGTCCAGCAAAAAAAAAGCTGTACAGATAATAACTCTTGACCAAAGGGTAAGTAGTACGGAAGAAGTCATGGAAAAAAGGAACATACGATAAGAGAAAGAGCGACCTGATCTACCCGAGACCCCCACTCACACCAAGAAAATCCCATGTACCTCGACCGGCTTCAATCATCCGTTACAATACAACTATGCACCACTTTATGTTCACAACCTAGTACTCCGGGACATGTACATCCCGCTTTCAATCCAACTCCACTTCTACCCGCCCAAAAGAAAAACCCCCCACCTCATCCCATCCTCGTATTTCCCCTAATGGAATTTCCGGACTTTAATCTTAATTTCACGAAAAGAAGAAATAAAACTGCCGATGCGGCTGCCAATCGCGGGCCGAAGACCGGATCTACTTATTTTTCTTTCTAGGAGTAAATCACCATTCCCATGGTCTTGGCTCTTGCTCATTCCCCCCCCCCTCCTCCTTCAATTAATTAGCCAAGGTTAGTTATTAGCTTGCGGAGAAAGAAGGGAATAAGGTGTAGAAAAAGGAGCGAATGAGTAATATACAAAAACATTCTAGATATGGATGTTGCAGAAGGAAAAAGTGGGGGAGAGCAAAGGGACGTGAATGGTTGGAGGGTTTTGTTCAGGGAAGTTCCTTGGTGCGTGGGTTACCGGAAACAGGTAAAGAGGGGACGATTGTGGCAAACTGGCGGTGTGTGTAGAAGGGACGGAAATTGTGGATTGGAAAATCGGCACGCACACGGGGTGGCGTCACTTTGGAGCCTGCTCCAAGCCTAAGGGGTTTTTTCCTAAGACGGGTTACTTGTTGTGGATTCCTTGTCGACGCGGGTGGAGCCGAGATGCTCGTCCGTCTGGTGGGTATTCGAAGAGAAGGGGGTAGTGGTAGTAAGTAGTATTATCACGCAATCGAATCATGATGGTTGTGAGAGAATGGCATGGTGGTAAATGTGTGTGTGTGTGTGTGTGTGTGTGTGTGTGTGTGAATTGTTATTCCTATCTGATGTTGAGAGAAATTAGTCTCTTGCTGTGTGACCAGCTGTATACCTGATACTCAGATACATGTTTGCCTATCCTACAACGCTATCCTCCCTTCCACGCCCAATGCGTGCTTCGGCAATGGCCGGCGAACTGTCCTCGAACAAAAGAAAAAGAGGCTCTGGGCCTATGTAGATGACGCTAAGGTCTGGTATCATAATCACAAAGCGCCGCCAAACTCCAAGGATAAAAATCATATGTTGTCGTAAAATATGTATGCGAAGTGAATGTCGCGAAGGTAAATGGTGTTGTGTCCGGCTTGGTGACATTCTCCAAAGTTGTGTAGCAGAACACAGTGCATGGTAATGCATGCAGCTGTCGAACCAATGCGCTACCCAGTTAGGGTCGTACTGAAACGACAACAGTTCATGCAGACGACCGGTCGTAAAGGCCGCTCGTGACGAAAGGTTGGTAAAGATGATTACAAGAAGTATTCGAGTCGAGAAGTGGAAATTATATCCAGTTCCCATTGCGTTTCTGCTCAGCCTCGAAATTGAAGCGGAATGCAGAGGTCTCAGATACAGAGGGGTAATGTATCAGAGGCTGTGATCGATGGGAAGATACCGATCCACGGTTGAACTCTCCAGTGGGCGAACAAGGAGAGTATGGAGTTGGTGGTCTATCAGCGAGTGACGAAGCAACACTAGACTTTCTTCGTGTTCGCTCCGGTTTCTGTATTGAGCTTGTGGGTGATTTGATTGAGACAGCGTCTGTCAATGATGGTGTCCGTGGGGGAAAGTCGTATGTGCTGAGCTCCTTCTCGAAGAAAGATGGGGTCCTGGGCGATACACGGTCTCGCAAGACAACTCGGTTTGATGGTCGAATGCCATACTCGTCCAGCCGTTGGTTGTATTGGCTGGGTCGTCGCCATGATTCGAATTCAGCGTCGTCCAGTGGTGTGACTGCTCGTAATGAGAAGCCTCGCATCCTCCTGCGGGATCTTGTCCACACAAAGAGGACTGCAAGGGTAAGGGCACACACGACGAGCGAGCCTGCGACTGCACCAATGATGATGTAGATTTTGGTTCCCTGCTCCATGATGGCGGTGTCGATGTGGAAGTGTAGACAGTCAGTAGGGTGTCGTAAATGAGAAGCCGAGTTGAAGATGTGAAGGAGTGACGTCTATCGGATGATGATCATGCTGGCTGCGGTTGACGCGGATGCAATTGTTGATGGGGGCGGTCGACGAAACGACAGCGGTAGACGAAAGAGTCCACTTCTGTTTGATATGAACCCGGAAGGGCGATACGGATAAAGTAGTGCGGGACAGGTGGAGGGGGGTAAGACGGGCGGAGACCAAGGTCATGCGTGTACCCTCGCTCCACAGCGCTGTGGCAAGATGGCACGCAACTAGCGGGACGAAACAAGGCAAGACAAAGAACGGTCTTGCTAAGCGGCGCACCGAGAGAGAGGAGTGTTGCGGGATATAGCGAGCGGGCTGGCTTGGCTCGAGGCAACATGCAAGGTACAAGAGAGCGGCTAGTGGTGGGCAGCGAAGTTTGTCAGTAGGGCAGACGGCCTTGGAAATATCGGTGAGGTGTGCACTAAGAGGACATCCATGAGGAACTAATATCGACAAGCTTGGAATCTGGTCCCGCCGTCAGCGATGGCGCAAGTACCGAAATAGGCAATTACACCGTCTCTACTGCAAGGGGCCTGCTGCTCCCGTCCAGTGGGTGCTGTGTCAGAGCCACGGAATGGGCGAGTGTGGCGTTGTTGGGGTCAGCAAGACCATGACCTTTTGACAACGCATGCCAGATATGCAACGAATCCAGGCACAGAAGACGCTTTCAGCCTCACTCAAGTGATACTCGTGGCTTTGATGTCGTAGACGATAACCCGCCAGTTTGCGTAGATGCTTGCCCTGGTTGCATGCGTGCGTGCATGCGCGTGTATGTACGAACAGGACAGTAGATGCGTGCGAGCCGTTCACTCAGCTCCTATCCGCAGTACCCACTTGCATGGTTTGGAGGGCGGGGCATATAGTTGACTGGAGTGGGAGGGTGTGTGGGTGTGTGGGTGCTGGTCGGACACTTCGCTTACACGCAGGCACTGACAGAGACGTCGATCTACGCAGCTCTCGCCAAACTTGAAGCAGCATCGCTCCCTCGCAGGCACTGGCCAATGCCGTAACGGACTTTAGGTGCGTCCCGCGATAGCTTCCTTGAAAGGGCCCCAGCGTCTCTTTGTCCTGAGCTGGGCTCGCCAGTGGGGCGGGGCGCATCCAGATTCTGAGGGCAGGCGTTCGCCCGCACACAAGTACCCGGGGCGCGCAGAAGGAGATGAGCTGGGCCAGGAAGAAAACAGGTTGAGGCGCAGTAGTTGCAGGTGCAGGCGCAAGACGAAGACGACCTGGTCCTTATCGCCGGCAAGCTATAGCCTAAGAGCTGAGTGTTCCTGACCCGTCGCCCACACTCCCTGGCTGCTATGCTCGATATAGACCAGGTGCGCCGACATGTTCCATGGCACGAACGGTCGCTTGGTCGTCAGCTTGCCAGGTCAGAGATTGCTTAATGATCCTGAAGCTTCGTCCGAGGCCCCCATTTTCTGCACCACCAATCCTACTCGGCATGCTTTCACCGGACCTCAGATGAAACATGTCAAATCTGCCATGGCACCCTGAATAACGAGCTCAACGTTGCGTTGCGTTGCGTTGCGTTGCGTTGCGCTGCATGGGCGATGCAGTAACGTGAAGCCGGGGCGACCTGGGGGCATGCACTGCTGCGTAGTACACTAACGCCATCGCCCAGTACTAGTCTAGAGGGTAGTGCATCATCTGGACTGCCCTAATGGACCTGTCCAAACAATTAGCTGCATCTGTCCAGAGGAAAAAAAACCTCCGATCCTGGCCATGGCCGGTCGCTTTGGCCGATGGTTTCATTTCTAGCGCCGCTGGTGGCTGATCTAAGAGCTGTATGTACCGTTTGTAATCCGTCTTCAGGAGCTTCAGGCCACCTCCACCATAGAGTTCGGTATGGTCATGACCAAGCCGTGTATCTCAAACCTCTGGATTTAGACCCGTATTACAAAAGGATTCACAGTGCTGGAGAGAGACGGACCGACTCTAAACCCCGTCATCATGATCTTCACATTTGCACCACAACCGAAATGAGACGTCCTATCACTACATACTAAGCATAGCCGAACGAGCATCGTCTGCAACTCAGATACAGTTTGCCACTTGACAAACTGTAAGTGCACGTTAGTCTATTCCTGCCCTCAAGACACAGACACACAACATGCCCGGCAGTTGGGCATTTGATGCAGTGGAAGCCACGGGTTTTCCAATACAGTGGAAGGACAGCCACGACAGGTTCGGGTCAGGGGTACCTGGACAAGGCCGGATTGGTACAGGCGCCCTTGCCGCTGATGCCGAGCCTGACCGAAATACTTACCAGTTCATACAAGAGTAAGTAGATACTACTCTAGTCTAGTCGGAGCTGGAACATGGCGCTGTCGTTCTGCCGGCTAAATGCCAATTTTGCACGTGGATCTGGATCGCCGCCAGGCAAGCGTGCGACGCCAGCGCCCCGGATTTCAGGCGTTAGCTCAGGGCGAGGAGGTCTTTTGGGTGGACGTGACAGGAATGTTGTGACGAGGCCATCGCACTGGAATCGAGCGTGTGTTTGTGTTTTGCGTTAGGGAATGCCTGTAATGTGGAGAAACACGACGGCCATCATGGGGTCATTGGTGGAGCAAAAGCAGAAGGTGCCAAGACTCTCGGCTTCGCAAAGAACCCTGCGTCAAACCATTTCCCGCGCCGGCCAATCACAGCCTCGCCGTCCCCATCGTTCTCTCCTCCAAAGCTTAGCCCTACACACAGCACGACTCCAGGACCATCATCGTGACTCGACTTTCGACTATTGCAGTCACAGCCTTCTCGCCTTCTCTGCCCTATCCTTGCTTGGGCTCTGGCACCGACACACCACAGACGCTCCATTCGCCATGACGCATGGAGATGACAATCTACCCACCGTCCCTCAAACGAGATGAGGTTGTGCACCCCGTGACACCGATCCGACTCGTCTCATCACCTGCTGCAGACGTCGATGTCCAGAGCAATATATCCAACATGACCATCTCCCTGGAACTACCGCCGGAACACTGCGATTCCGGGTCATCTTGCACATTATAATAACAGCACCCATGACGATACCGCTCCTCAAGCGACATTGCTTCAACGGCCGTACAGGCACCCTGGACTCGGATCCCTCCCGCTATGCAACAACCATATTACCGCCCATGTCACTTTTCGATAGCGGCGAAAACTTTCCCACGCCCATGTTGCAACAAACGTCATGAGACGGCATTTTCGGCAATGGCACATGAAATGGCGAGTGCCCGCTCTCGGGGCAGGGCGCATTCTCCATCAGTCGACTCGACCAACCCACAAATCGTTCGCATATCACGAACGGTGGCGCCTGCTTACACGTGCTCCCTGTGACTCGTTTCCTAATACATCCGTTCTTGCTGCAGGCCCGGTAAACTTGTGCGCAACTTTGGCCCTGCGAGTGGTTGGAGCTCGCTGCCGGCGGTTGGCGAGTCAAAGAAAAAGAAAAGTTTCCCCATTTCCCATATGTCGCTTGCTGACGACCATGACCGCGAGACTTGCTCCATGGACCCATATGTATTTACTCGTGACGCAGACATATATTGGAGGGGTCTTGGAAAGCATCCCGCGCCGCGAGTTCTTTCGGAGTGACTTGTGAGGGGTGGGGGCGCGGCATCGCTGCATGCGGTATATTGAGCGCTTTTTGTCTTGTGCATACGCGCTCGGTGATGTCTGCATAGGATAAATGTATAGGTAAATAGAGCGCAGCTTCTACATATGCACAGAAGAAGAAGCCGTTTCAATAAAACTATATTTGACCAGCTTGTTGGTATAGTTTGGATACCGCACCTACTTACGATCCTGCTTCACTCCTGACGATTAGCGTCGAACCGTATGCTATGTATCAAGGAGATCAGATCGCGGAGCGGGAGAGTCGATGATTTGAGAATAATAGCTCATATATCTGCGCTACGGAAGTGTTCCTGAAGGATTGGCTACCAGCATACTACTAGGTATCAGAGACATGACTTTCACATGTGCATCCTTTGACAACTGTAGGAAACAACAGAGGCATTTGTTTCTGAACCCTGCAACCAAAGCGCTTGTCGAAACAAGCAAACAATACAGGGTAGCGCATTCTCAGAAATATGCGACTACCGATAGCAAGAGTAGGCGTACTTGCCTTCCCTTCACGATCCAGCGTACCCATGTATCTTGCTGCTCACATGTCTGCGCATGTCCCGCACCCAACACTCCTCCCTCATTCGACCTCGTATTCCGCTGTGAAGACTGATGCGCGCAATCGTCCCGACAAGGAAACATAGCGGAAAACATTTGTCATTCCTCAGCCACACAGCCACCCGCACTGGCAAATCCCAGACATCGTTCGCTCGGGTGCAAAAGGGTATTTTAAACTTTCAAGCTATGGCGCCGCACCAGAGCAGGTACCGAATAGCAGCGTTAGGCGCGAGCACCCGTCGATTAGTACTTATTTCCCACCCGCTTTCACAAGAGAACGGAGATCTGACGAGATGGCACGGCCTGAATAAGTATCTGCGGTGCGGTAAGCTGCGGGAATTGCCGCGTTTCCAAATTGTCTCCCATTAATATCGTCATATTCCTCGTATGCCCTAGAATTCCATTCATGTGGCGTTCTCGCGGCGAAAGAGCCTCAACTCTGGCAGCTAGCCATGTAAGTAGACAGGAGTGTTTTTGCCCTGGTTGTCGCAATCTCAAAAATAAAGCATTTCTCTTCATCATCAAACGTCGTCCCCACTCCCCTCCTCGGCCCCTCAAACCCAATGATTCGGTACCACAAACCGCAGTGTTATCAGTCCGCGAACGACTCGGTTTCTGCTGAAACTCTGTTACCCGAAACTCTCCCCTCGCCTGTCCGTATCGCAACTTTCCCATCCCCACAAACAAGGGGTCTTACTTAGCACAACGTAATATTTGTCGCTTTGCCCCTCCCCAGCGCTGGAAGGAGGAGCACCTGGTAATCCGAGTCCGCCGCTACCCCAAGCGCCCGCTTCTTATTTCCTCTTTCCGTCTTGATCCTCATACATGATCGTTCTGAACGTCCCACGGGACCATCAGTCGATAAACACCCCCGCCTAATAATGACTATATCGATTTTTCTGTCCCTGTCTCTTTTCGTTTGCAAGTATCCGGATGGCAAGGGAAAAAAGCGACATGGAACAAGGTTCACATATTACATCCTGGAACAAAGCAACAACACCCAAATCACACATCCACAAAATGTGATGTATACGCGACAAAACAAACAACCGGCATAGAAACTTTGTCGAACTGCATCACAACCGGAAGCAACTCGGTCTATATCGCGACATCTAAATAACTTCTTCACAAATATCCATCCAAGCAGCGCACAAATCACACATCCCCAAACGGCACAACTTCGGACCCTTCCTCCTCCCCCCTCACGTGTTCCCTTCCCCCAAACTCACAAA